ATATCATATACTCTGTTCAGAATGAGATGATGACTCGACGGCCCAGTTGTGCGCATGGGCGTGGCTTTGTTCCGTTGCAGCGCTCGACGCGTCGCCGTAGTGGGGACAGCGTCTGACCATTTGTCTGACCGCCACTCGACGAAAACTGGTCGCCGCCGAGTCATCATCTCGTTTTGAACAGAATATAGATATGTATATAATATGTCTTATACCTAGACTGACATACTGTCTCCCCTCAGAATCGTTTTTCTTATACAATGATATTATATCGTTAAATCAAATTTAATATCATCCATTATACAGTGACCCACTTGTAACCTACTGTACAGCAAAGCGACACCCACTTGCCCACCTTTTTTATTTAAAATCAGATGTGCCCAAAATAAATACAAATGTAATGTAATTATTTCATGAGATTTCTAAAAAAAATAACGATTATTTTAAGGTAATTTAAAATTTAAAATTTAAAATCGACTTCCTAAGAAACCTAGATATTTTATCAATGAATACAAATATGTATAAAAAATTTAAATCGAACATTCCGAAGTATGTGTACTTTACCACCTCTTAATGGTCAAAAACGTTTGAAAAGTATGTGGGTTGCAGCCCCCTTAATAGTCAAAACAATTTTACACTATTTATAATCAATGATACATAGACAGTATTTGTATATAGACAGTTATTAAACTTGTAGAATGACAATGTCATTATTTTAATAATTATTAAGAACTTAGAGACTTGAGAAAAATTTCCCTTACCTACACGTTTTTATACACATTACACATTTTTAATTAATAGTTATTATAAAATATTTTTTCATAGTAAAAATAAAAATGTATGTGTGTGTATGTGTGTGTAAGAAATTAGTACAACTAAAAGTTATGTGGTAAGTAAATAATATGAGCGCCGTGTAAATTATTACCTACAGTTAAAAATGCTTATATAAATCATATAAAAATTTAAATATTGTGAAAAGCCAATGCGTGGATACAGGCAATGTTCTGAGTATATTAACCGGGTAGATTTTAAAGGGCCAAACGTGATAATACGTGAATTCACTCTAATGGAGGGCTATAGCCACGGCATAATATTAAAAGTACCTAACAACACAGGGTTAGTTCTGACAAACATAAATTTGCTATGTTGCGAAAGGACTTGTGGGTCAAAGACAAAAAACAAATAATGGTGTGCTGATATTCTCTTTCGTTGGTTAAATATTCATGACATAAGCTGTTTTTGCTAATATGTAGAAATACATAGCTATGAATAAAGAAATTAAAACAACTAAATTTATTTGAATGTTTAACTTTTATCTTTTAATATTAGTATAGCCGTATAGGTAATTTATACGTTTTGTACGTAAAATGGATCTTCTAACAGAATTCAAGATCAAAGGGTATTGTTGTTAAATATTATAATATGTTGTATTAATAAATATTATCTCAAAAATATTACCTAATATTTTTTTTTAAGGTTAAGTACCTAGATATGTAAAATGTATTAAGTAGTTACAACATGCAATAATAACAAATATTTACATAACAATTATTTTGTATTTAAGGGATCTCGCTATGGCATTGATACAAGGAGAATCATTTAGGCAATTTCTAATCTCGTCGTTGCCACACGAGAATTATTTTTGTGAAGTTTGTTGCAAAAAAACATAAACAAAATCATAACTTTCAATGGTTGAAAAAAAAAATTTACAACGAAATAATAATAAACAGAAAATTCCAAATTAAATATCAAAGTTAATAAATTACCTAGGTACAAAATGTATGTTTTGTTGCGAATACTGCGATAAACCTTAGGGAAATAATTTCTGTTGACGTTTAGAACAACGGTGCCCAACCTAGTCCCTACTTACCAACTTTTTATGTTTTTTGAATAATCTAAAATAGGTATTATAGAGTAAAAATATCACCTATTACAAAAAAAATTGAGAAAACCTTTTTTGAGGGTATGACTTATTGACCTTCTTATTGATTTGTTTAAATATTGTTTCAAAACAATTTATACATTTAAAATTACAAAAATTATTTTTTATTTTAAATTTTGTAGTCAAATAATAATAAAATATAAAACCAATATATCATACCCTCAAAAATATTTTTCTAGATAAATTTTTTTTGCAATTGTTATTGCAATTTAAATTACAAAAATAAAAATGTGGCTTGATTGTTTAATTGTATAGGTATATTACAGACAATCCGAATATTTTTTCAGTATGAAAATCATGATAATTGTAGAGACATATCATTGGAATTAGAAACAGTAGTTTTTGGCAAGAAAAGATGTGGTAGTGAGGTCCTTGATAGCTATATGAAAAAACATAGGTATCATGAAAATATATAATTGCAGATACCATATCCGCTCAGAATCATTATTCATATAGAAAGATAAATTATCGAATTTAATATTCACATCCAGTACTGTTTCCGGACAGGCAAATCCTAGGATACGCAGGACGGTGTAGGATGATTGCCTAGTATGTGAGTGAGGGGCAGAAAAGATTTACAACGACAATTTTGATGATAACTGAAGTGGACTGTATTTTTCATAGATAATATATATTATTAAACTAGATAGCCGACTCGTTTCAATTATTGAAGTCTGGCCGCCATATGCAGATAGGGCAATGTTAACATTTTGTTATCATTATCAATTACTGTGATAAGTAACTGATCAAAAAAAAATGAAATTCAAAGTTCAAACATTTCTTTTTAGCCATGTCATGTTTTTAGCATTACTTATTAATAATTAATATTTATTATTGAATAACACTCAAGTGACCAGAACTAATACTGAGTGGTCACTTCCAGTAGGCAGTAGTGTATAATGTATATTGGCCTGTGAAAATGTAGTACTTGCACTACCAGAAAACTGTGAACATTTGCTAGGTAGCAACTAAAATTTTCATTTTAAAATCTGAATATGTACACTTAGTATAACGTACATTGCAAGTAACATTTGTTTAGTGCTGCACATACAAAGAAATCAGGTTAAATTCCTTGAATTAATGAAGTATAATAACAAAAGATTCTGTTATTAAATGTTAAAATAATAACAACATAATTGTAAAAAAAAAACAATTAGGTAAAATATTGTATTTTACATTTAAAAAAATAGAAAGTGAAGTGCAAAACCTTAATTCATACATTATATATAATTTTTTACTAAGTTAATACTTAATGATTAGAAAACAAAATTAATTTGTTTAATTTATGTCGTTTACTGGTAGTATTTACTAATGCAGAATATTCTTTGCCAAATGATTTTAATCTGACGCTTAAATATCTATTTATTAGTAAGGAAATTAAAGTAATTTTATGGGGTCGAAACAATAGACTACAATTGCAATCTAATTCACTAAATTTATTACGATCAAGAGACAAGTTATTAGTGCATTGGTACATTATTTTTTTATTTGAATTGGGTATGTTAAGGTTTGTTAGATTATTTGTTAAATTCAAAAGGATTTTTTCAGCCTCCATTATTATTTTAAAAGAACTTTCATTTTAATTGATTTATATCACGAGGATAACACCTATGTTTTGTAAGCAGTGCCCAAACTGCATATGGCGACCAGGCGTCCTATTTGTATGCATAGTCTATACAGAGTCAGCTATCTAGTTTAATAATATATATCTATGGTATTTTTGTAGTACAATCACTGCCTGCTTGGCAGACAATAAGTACCTTAACTAATAACTAATAAGGGGAGGAGGGGGAGACAATTAATATGTTGTATCAAATCCCGACATCGGGCTCACAATTAATTAAACTTATGATTTATTTTAATACATTTAATAACAATTGTATGATTCGACCTCATTTGTGTGTTGGTCGTCCGTGGATGGAAAGATCAGGATAACGGGGCGGTGAAAGAAGTGTGTAGACGTTGTCGTTAATTGGACTGATATGTCGTCGCGACCGTTGGCCGGTAATGTAGGTACTTACACGACGGCGAGTTAATGAAAAAACGCATACGCGGAGTTAAAATAGCTTTAATGAACACGACGGTGAAGAAAACACGCACTCGTAAATACTAATTACACAATGATGGTTTCGACGCCGAATAATACGCGCACTCGGACACGAACAACGCGAACGTGGCGTTATGAAAGGGTAGGCGAACAAAATGGCGAATAATACGCGCATCCGTCGTACTACATCGACAAGACTGTCGGCATGTAGTGTATATAGCGTGTCTTACGATGGCGAATAGTCGAAAGATCGAATCGTCGCAAAGATACGCCGCGAAGAAATACACTCGAAAAATTAACATTTCTCGCGAAGAAGAGAAATAAAAAAAGGCGCACATTCATGTGTTAACAAACATTCGAAAAACAACAACGAGCATATCATGTTTTTATATCACGGAGAGACATTCCGACGGTGATAAAGTGCTGTCACGTGATGACCACCGGGCGGCAGTGTCGTCTGGTGCGGCGCGCGCGTACCCGACGTTACCATGATGTTGTCAGTAGCGCAACAAGTACACAGTGACCCTACTATGCCAGGGCAATACAGTTCTCCTACACATTGATAAGAAACTACTTGGGGGAAATTAAAATTTTAGGTAATACCAACTGTCTTTTTTCAGAAAATTGATATCAAGGAATTTAGTATTATACAACCACACCCACTGTACTTATAATGCAAGTCACAATAATTTTAAAGTACCAAATAATAATTTATATTTAGAACTTTAGAAGATTAAGGCCCGGTTTTTCAATTGTCATAATAACTGCCAGTTAGTTTTTACTGAGTTTCTAAAAATCAACAAGTCTCATTATGGACCAAAATTACGGTAATAAATATTTTTTAACTACTAAATTTTAGATACTAAAACTAAATTATTATTATTTATTTATTTTAAAAAATACAGTCTGTATAAATAATGTTTACATTAGACAAAAAATAATTTGTATACCCCTTAACTATAAACTATTATAATAGTTTTTTATTATAATACTATTATAAACTATTATTTAGCTATGTACCTAACTACCATAATTAATTTTTTAGATCAAGATGAAAATGCAATTATTTTAGAACAGGAAGCCATATCAACATATACAACATTGCCTGGTGTTCGACTAAAGTCTTTAGTCTATATGGATAATTTAGGCTATAGATATTACAAAAATAACAGTCGTAATAATAAAATGTAAGTGTAGCAATATGTCAAAAATTAATATTTTATTATCTGTTTATATTTATATAAATATTTAGTTATTTGGTATGTGAAAACCAAAAAAATCGAACTGAATTCTGTCCAACCACTGCAATTATAAGTGTGGACATGAAAGAAAATTGGATTAGGACTAATAGGAACCATAACCATTATCCACCAGTAGTTGATATTCCAATGGTCCATTTAAGGAGAAGTATTGGATTGGCAGGAACAAGTACTGGAAGAACATCAAATTCAATAAGAAATATTTATAACAATGAAATAATTGCGTAAGTTAAGTTTGGTTAGTAGGTAACTTTTTTCATAGAAAATATAGCTATATTTTAAAATTGTATAGAAATCCAGATGGTGCAAGGAATTATACATTTCTCCAATCACAAGCAAGTGTACAAAGAATGCGTCATTGTCGACGTCCACCAAACCCAGACACTATTGAAGATTTGGCAGGTATTCTGAATGAACATATGGCATATGCATCAACCTTGCAGCATCCGCCTTCAAGGTGACAGCAGATAGGACAATATTATCTAATAAATATTTTAGCATTTCATTAAATCAATTTTTTGTATTTAGGTTTTTTCAACAACTATTTGAAGCTGAGGGAGAAACTGTTGGATTAGTATTTTTTAATTTAGATGCCATCGAAAAGTATAGAAATGAGCTTTTATCTGTCAGAGTTGCAGGAATTGATGGAACCTTTAAAACAGTACCAAAATGTCCTTCTCAGCTTACTAATGGTTGCCTTCTGACCTTTCATGTACTTTTTCATAATGTTGTAAGAAATGCATTTAACTTAATTGTTTTGTTCTTTTAATGCGTAGTGTAGGTTAATTATTTTTTGCTTTAAATTAATAATTTGTTTAATTAACTTTTTGTTATAATATGTCATATACATTTTCTACTGTTTAGTCTTTTCCAATGGTATATGCTCTCACATCGAAAATGACGCAAGCAACATATGAATCGTTCTTCCATATTGTTTTGAGAATTTTGCCATTGAATTATGCTCAACTGACTATAGTTACAGACTATGAAAGAGGCTTGATGAATGCTGTGAGAAGCATTTTTAATGAAAGCAATCTGCAAGGTTGTTGGTTTCATTTCTGCCAAGTACTTCCACAGTTTTCAAGTTTTTATGCCTTCTGGTTTTATAATAAATGTATTGTTACAGGCTGTTATTCGATACTGCCGAAGAACCTTAAATAGTGTTTTTCACTTATTTCAAAATAGCCCAGAAGCCAATCGAGTATTAAGAATGGTAATGTAAATATATAAGTAGTAGTAATAAGTTATCTAGATACTCATTCTAGACACTATATTATTATTTGAAATTTCATACTTGGGATGCATATTCATTTTCAGGTATTGGCATTGCCTCATCTCCCAGCAGAAGTACACCCTGAGTGTCAATTCACTATGGCCGAAGGGTTTAATACCATAATTGAGTATGCCAATGGTATTGAAGAAATATCAGAACGATTACAAGGTTTTTTAATTGGGTATATTCAACAGTTTTGGTTTAATCAAATAGGTGCCTCATGTATAAGTGTTTTTGGGTAAGAAATCTTCAATACAATTATTGTAATTTTAGTTTTTTTTCTAATGTATTATAATATATATATATATTTTTTTTTTGTAATTTTTAGGTCAGATATTCGTACAAATAATTATCTAGAATCTTTCCATTCCACATTGCTGTCACAACTTGGAAGGCACCCCAATATCTGGGATTATATGCGTAAATATAACATAGTCTTGAATATTCGTGTTTGAGTTATATTTGACTGGTAATTACATATTTTGTGAATTTATTAATAATAAGGAAGAATGGTAGGTAAGTGTTATAGCTTGTTATTTGTATTAATTTAAAATTTATTCAGTTATAAATATTTGTGTTTGTAAGATACATTTATGTTTATGCCTATAATGTTTTGTGAATTATTTTATGTTTTATTATTCATGGGAAAAAATGGTGAGTAATCATAACTAATAATAATTATGCTAACTCGATAATTGTATTAATTTTATTTTATTTGATTAGCAAGATTGTTGTCTATTGAAAACCAGTATTACATAGAAATGGGCCAAGCTAGGAGAAATTTAACCATTAGAAACAATACAACACGGGTCCGACGAGCTGAAACTTCTTCTAATATAAGACACTATCTTCAGTTATTAAATGAAGAACAAGATATTTTGATGTTTCTAAGAAGAGCAGGTCATACTATGGACGGATATAATGAAAGACAGCTTGGTCCTCGACCATTGGTATGCTGTTTATTTTTAATATAATTCAATAATAGTGTGTTTAATATATTTTGTTGTTTCTTGTTTAATGTTTATTTATTTTTTTATTTTTTTTAGGAACCATAATTCATTGAAATGCTTTCGTTTTATCTTTGAATTGTTATTAGTAGGAAATATTTATTTATTATTATTTTAAGCTGTATGTAATTTTTCAGACAAATGTGAGTTAAACTTATAGTTTTGTAATATGGACTACTTGTATTTTTTTTTAAGTATAATCGAATTGTTTTATTTTTTATGTTAATAGTGATTACTAAATTAATTGAAATATTTAATTATTATATTTTTGTCATTGACGTGTGTTAAATGTTAATAAAAATGTACAAAATTTTAATAGTATGAGTAGTATGACTATGTTGTAAAGTATTTGAGTAAAATCAGTTTTGATTATTAGTGTCAGACACTTGATTTAAATTTAAGTATCTAGTAGGTATATACTTAATTAAACATTTAATTATTTAAACTATTAACACTGTAAGAGCTGTATTTATAGTCTTAAGAATAAGTATATTGCTTAAGCTAATTTTTATAGTTTAAAAAATAACAAATTGTGATAATAACTTATTATAACTTATTAATAACTAATTATAATATATTTATATTATTTTCTTCTATATAGTATTAAAGTATATTCTGAATGCTGATTATGTTGATTTTAATAAGCCATAGTTTGTAATTTATATGTCCATGGCACAGATATATAAAAATACTAGATAGATAACTTGGAAATGTTTTTGAAGCCAACAAAATGGCCGAAATTCTCTTATCTAAGAGGTGAATGTTTACATTTTCATAATACTGATAAAGATATTATTGTTATTTAATTTGTCATAATATGATTAATATTATAAATTATAAGTTTAAACTTTAAAGTTGTATAGTTAGTTCATGATGTTAATAACTTAACTTACTTACATAAGTCTTAAATACATATTATCAACTTTTAGCTTATTCAACAGTTATGTAAATTATGTAATAGTGCATGTGAATATTACATTATTTTATAAAAATTTGTTCTATTGTAAAATATTTTTAAAAACAATCTGAATTAATTAATTAAAAATTTTACATCCATTTATTATTTTTGAAAAACTATATTTAAAATCAATAAAACAAAACTGGTATACTACCTTGTATAATAATAATCATAAAATATTTAAAATTAATAAAACAAAATTTGTATCTATACTAGTGCTACATATTATAGTAATAAATATAAAATATTTCAAGTAAATAAAACAAAACTAGTATATTAATTAATTTAATAATAATACAAATATTTAAAATTAAACTGGTACTTATAGTCTATACTACATATAATATTTTATACCTACTACTGGTTCATAAAAATTATTTGTTTAGTTAATTTTTGTCTTTTACTAACAGGATTTAAAATTTCTGTTGAAAACATTTTGCCAAAAGAATGGAGTCGAATACTTAGATATTTTTTTAACTAATGAAATGAATACCATCTTATGGGGTCTATCTAGCAAAGGAACATTATCACATTGAAGTGTATAAAAAATATTATTATCGAATGCAAATGTATTATTACATAGGTTTATTATTTTTAAATCAAGATTTTTATATTTAATGTTTGTATTTGATTTTGATGTGTGGCTTCACATACTCCTATACACAACAATGTCTTACCCTAAACTATAAATTAATCAATAAAAATCATTCTTAACAAAACTAAATCATATTTTACTAATAAAATTTACCATGAGTTAAAGGATTGAACTTTTGGTTAAAACTTATGAACTGCATATTGTATTATACTGTATGTTTAAAGTTAATACAAGTAAATTCCATCCTTTGTATGGTTGTAAATACAAGATCATAAAATAATTGTAATTTAATTATACCATTTAATGGCATTTATTTTGGAACTCAATGTCTAATAATTAGAAGAGGCTTGTTATTACATAAATATATTATTAATTTAACCAATTTTTGTAATTTCACCAAGTATAAGATATATATTAATAATATTTTCTCTTATATTTAATATAAAATTAAATCTTTTTGGTTTTACTTTATTTTGTTGTAATATGACATAACATAAAGTTAAATTTATTTTCATTTTAGTTCATTTTTAATATGAACTCAGATCATTAGAATTCAAGCATGTGCTTATTGGACGAGCTTGAAACTTGTTTATTATATCTATATTGTATTTCTCGTTTTTTGCAAAAAATTATACTTTTAATCTTAATTTTAAGTCAAGGACTAAGACATACTATAAAATAAAAAATATAAGTACATCTTAGTCCGTGTTGTAACTAGTAAGTGTATGATATTGTAATGATATTGTAATTTGTAATACGTATTTAATAGTTTTTGTTTCCCGCCATAAAATTATCACAGTTTATCATAATTTATATTTTGTAAACATTCACCTCTTAGATAAGAGTATTTCGGCCATTTTGTTGGCTTCATAATATTATTACATGGTAGGAATAGGGAGTCGTCTATCTAGTATTTTTATATATCTGTGGTCCATGGTTAATTCAAAAATAAAAATAAAATCCTTCTCCTGTTTATTTTCCGCTTATCATTTTCTGATAAAATGTTAGTCGGTATTCAGATTTTGATTTTCCATAGTTGGTAACATTGGGATAGTCCGTTCTTATTGGTTGTAGGAGAACTGAGAGCAGCCCCTACTATGCCTAAACAAGCCCGGATTACGGGGGGGGGGGACACGGTCCCCGGGCCCTATGATTTTGGGGGCCCATCTTTGGCATCTTTATCCCCATAATATATTTTTTAACGCATCCAATACAGTTTTCAACAAAAAAAATTATTATTTAAGTAGGTAGGTACTAGGTAGGTAAAGTAGTTAATTATTATTAATATTTATAAAATAAAATTGTTCTCCATTTTACACCACGAAAAATTACAAAAAAGCAACAATTTTGTTTGTTTTTTTTTTTTGAGTATTTTAGATTACCGATTTAAATATTTAAGTATACAAAAGTCAAAAGTTACCTAAGGTCAAAGTTACCTATAAGAAAAAAATATTTAGCTCTTGTAAATTAGGTATTTCAGTTAAAAGTATATTAATGCACATTAAACTAATCTTTAGAGGACCATAGTTAATAACCTACAGAACCAAAATTGATCATTTGACTGTCAAAATATTCAGAAAAAAAGTTTTACCAGAATCCATCAAAAATATAGGGGTTATCATTTAAAAAATAAAGTCGATTTTATTATTGGTACAACTACCTACGTGTTAAAAAGGTGCTCTGCTGTACAGTAGGTTACAAGTGGGTCACTGTATAATGGATGGTATTAAATTTGAATTCAATGATATAAAATCATTGTATAAGAAAAACGATTCTGAGCGAAGACGGTATGTCAGTCTAGGTATAAAACATATTATATAGGTACCTACTTATCTATGGTATTAAAAAAAATTGACCTATAATAGCTGGTACCTATAATAAATTCCAAATTAATCATATCACAATATCCATTAGGTACTTATAACGCGTTATACATAAATAACAAACCGTGATATTATCATAGATATAGGTATAGACGTATAGTAGTGTACTTTAGAAGTTTCAAGTACCCACGAATAATATTATACAATCACAACAAAATAACTAAATTAGTTATTCTAGGTTTTTATTATGTAATTTCATAACATTTTATACATTTTTAACTACAAAATTATTATTCAATTTTAAATTTGATAATTTTGTCAAAATTCGATCTTTGAATGCTTATAAAAAAATATTGTGCCTATGTATTTTTAATATTTTTCAACTGCTATATTGTTACAATATATAGGTAACTATATAAGGAGCCTTGTATTAAATGTTTACACTTTTTGTCCCAACAGATAAAACTTAATAGATATTCATATAAAGAAAATAAAAAAATTGAAACATGAAATTGTCCATAGTTACCTATACCTACAGCTCAAAACAAGTCAAAATATTTTGAAAATTTGATCATGTACAGAAAATGGAAATATAAACAACCAGTGAACATTTCATGCGTCTACGGTTTTGTTTTAAATTTACAACAAAGGCCAAAATCTATTTTATAAAAAATTGATTTTGCGTAAAAATTCCCGTTTTTCGTTAATTTTTATTTTGTTTTACCGGGTGCTTTTGAAAACTATTGGGAATTTTAAATTTTGACCTCCCCAAATCCCAATACATCAACAATATTCACTTTCCTATCGAAAAAGATACTGACATTGAAAATCGAAGCATTATTTGACTACTTATCGTGTGAACAAACACAAAATCAAAAAACACACATCATTTTAAAATCAATACATTCATCTTTCCAATCAGAATCTAAAATTTTGAAAATGTTGCATAGAAATTGCCTGTTAAAAATAAAGAAACATGTCTTAAAAGTTTTAAAGAAATTCCATATACCTAATCGATTCATAATTTTTAAAAAAAACTAGTGTACAATGACATATGATACACAATGTATATTTTGTTGTATAGTAAACAATTATACAATAATATCAAGTTGTTAATATGTGATGATACAATTATTTTGAAGTTAAAAGTTAAAAGGGGCCCACTAAGTGTCCATGGCCTAATTGATCCTTAATCCGGGCTTATACCTATACATCAGAGTAGTACCTACCCACTGATACAAATCAAAAACCGTAGAACTTAAATGTTTGATTTTTTAAATAAATACTTAATTATTTCTAAGTGTACATAATCCGAGAGAATTTAGTACAAGAACAAAATTCTCCAAATGAGAAAACTATACTTAGGTATAGGTACTTAATAGTACTACTACATAAATGTATTAATTATATAAAATGTAATTTAATTATATTTTGGTTTCCTATTATTTCAAAATTGAATTGGAGGATTCTTTTTAAATAGCTTATCTTCACAAAATTGACAAAGATATAATACTTAAAGGGAATATGTGGGGATTGCATTTGATTCCATTAAAAAAAATAGTATTTGTTCACATAAATGATCAACTAAAAACTGATAAAACTGTGGTTTTTACTGATTCATGTTTAAAAAGTGTAGTTATAATTGATAAACAAATTTAAGTTAAAGAAATAAAAAGGGGAAGCGATTTGCAACTGTTACTTAAAAATCTAGAAAGCTTTAAAATATGTAAGGAGTTAATAATTGGCGCCAATGAAAATTGTGTGTTCGTTTCTTTGATCCGTCATTAACTTCTCTGAGAATTGTAAGCTGTTCTAACTGTATATCAAAAAGAAGAAAACTGTATAAAGTAAAACAAACAAATTTAAAACCAGCTAAAAAACTTCAACAATTTACAAGAAGGTTAAAAATTAAACATCAACAAAAAACTAGACTTAAGAATAATTATTAAGTTAATTATTTTTTAGAATGGACTTGAAATGTTTCCTTTTTTATTAATTATACATATACATAATATCAATTATCAAATATGTAAGTAATGACAACACTTATAGACTAGCTAATTTTGAATTTCTCTAATACAGCCATCATTAATATATCTTACACACAAAGACATTTGTTCGATAAGGTATATTATTATATCATAGGTTTCATCTGCCAAAATAGTAAGGAAATTTGCTTGGTTTATCTTCAACAAAATTTCTTTTTGAATAAGAGTCAAGAGAGCCGCATATTTTTGTAATATTTCATTTTTAATTATTGGACTAATATAAGCCGATTTTCCCAAATTCATCAAATGAATTTTTAGTGTTAAATCCCCACTTAATGCTCGGAAACTTAACAAACATCGAAAGTTACAGTCATTGTTATCTTTTTCACAGTTAGAAATAGGCCCACTATCGTCATGCCCTCTCATGGCTAACTCTTGACGACCGAAACAAAATATTATACTTATAAAATCTAAAGAAGGTCATGATTCAAAATAATGCATATTATATTTTCCAAAAAAAACGCAAAAAACAAGAATAATCGTGCGACTCATTTTTCGGGACGTTATCAGAAACCATGGCTATAGATATGATAGTATATTATCTATAACCGTGTCAGAATCGGAGTTTAGCATAATGTTTTAACTGATAACAGTTAACAGACAACGACGTAGCACGACCGTACAATAATATGGTTACTGGCATGAAGCCATGATATAACTAAACGAAGTTTACCCGTCTGCGATTCGTCGTCGATGCGGTATATTGCTTTTTAGTATAGGATATTATATTTTACAGTTTTACACTACGAGGAACGTTCACTTCGGTAACCGCGTTTTAATTTATCTGTTTGCTATAATTCCGAGCGCTGAGACAACGACCACTGTTTACTGTTTGAATTTATTTCGGAACTTCTGTATAATCAAACCACATTATAATAGGTTATTCTGTGATCATCTGACATCGGTTTCGAACACAACCTGCCCGCACGAGCACATAATACCGAAACGTCCAAAACTTCGGTCCACTGATCACGCCACTGTCCTGAACCCAGGCTTCAGTTTCTTTGATATCGTATTTAGTCAACGCACATTACCCTGAGGCTTTTGATATTTCAGCATGTTGAAACTGACACATGGTTGTGTGTGATGCATTGAGTTTTTGGTGAGCGGCTTGACAACGGTTTTGCTGTGCGCCTGATCGCGATCGGCTTGTCACCCATTACCAAATGAGAAAATAGTAAGTTGACTTTACTTTACTTAAGTTCTCTAAGTTCCATCTAAGAGTGAACCACTCGGCTGACCAAAACACGTTTTTTTCCTCTCATTCCCACCACAATTCGGACATCGGTGAGAGTCGGGCACTCGACGACCGACGACGGCTGGCGATGACTGTCCGCCATCACATAACGCTGGATTGAGGGTGAGGCACTGTTCGGCTGCTCAGTCTGCTTGCGTGAAAGCGGTTCACTCTTAGATGGAAAGCTATTGTTTAAATGCAGCGTGAACCATTTCAAATAATTTTTTTATTTAATTTTAATCAATTAGTTATAATAAAATATTATCATTGATTATTTTGGAATAGGTGCCAGATATCTGGTTATTTAACCAAAAGAATACACTCCTCATTATCATTATATTTGTATGCCCGGTATTATGTTGCATTGTATATGTTACGGGCAAGGTGAGGTAGTTGGGCATTGTGCACAGTGCCCGGACATTGTGTACAATGCCCAATTTTAGTGGTTAAAGTGAAAATAAAACACATTGCTCGGACATTGTGTACAATGACCAAATCTTTGAAGGGCAATGTATGCTAGGTACCATGTTTAAAACAATACAATTAAATAAATTTAATACAATATAATAATTAATATTAAATTTATTTATTTATTATTATTTATTAGATGAATATTAGTATACATATTTATTTATTTGAGCACGGGTTGCTACTGTGGCACTTAGAATTACATAGTTTACCAGCTGCTTTACATTTGCATTTTTTTGTTTTACACTTCTGCGTACAACCACATCTATTATATCCTTGACCTCCTAAGTTGGAATTGTGTCAAGCTACCTCTCTTAAGAGGACGCTACACTCACATTCGTTGTCTCCGTCTTACAAGTGCGTAACATAGCAAATTGTAGGCTCCGCAGATCACGTTTATCTCCCTTAGTTTAACAGTTAGAGTAAATTTACCTCCTATTAAATTTAAAAGTAAGATTATTATCGAGAGCATCTCATATCCTTTTTATTATATTTTAATTTTAGAGCGAATTATTACTATTTTTAAATTGTAAATTGTTTGTACATCTTAAAATACACGATATTCGTTTTAAAATAAAAATATAATAAAATGCCTATGAGATGCCCTGAATAATAATCTTACCTTTATATTTAATAAGAGGTCAATTCACTCTAACTTTTAAACTAACGGAGATAAACGTGATCTGCAGAGTGTAAAATTTGATATGTTACGCGTTTGTAAGACAGAGACAACACATGCGGGTGTGGCGTCCTCTTAAGGAAATTATGTTTTCAGGTACTTCTTCGGTCGTAATAAAAGACTCCTTGCTTAACTTAAATTGGTTACAACTATAAATTTGGTTTATTTTTCCTTCCTTGGTCCCAATTTCGTACAAATTGTCTTTTACTATAAAGCATAAATTTATACTTATGAACTAATTTACATTTATACTAATTATACTTAAGAATAAGAATAAATATAAAGTTCTAAGTTACCAGAAAGTATCACACCTAGAATATTGCGAAGAACACATCTTGCTCTATCTACATCGGGTATTCTTATCATCACATTCTCGCCAATTTTTCCATGGCAAAATCTATTTTCAGACATTTGTTTCATTTTTGTAGCTTGCTTCTGTAAATTTTGAAATGAGCTGGACCTTTTCTGATCAATAGATCTAAGTTTTGCGGAAATGCCATCGTTTATTACCACTAAAAAATGATTATAAACAATATAAATAAAATGTTTTAGATAAATAAATATTTGACATACTTTTGTCTTTTACAATTTTCTTATTATCTACAGTTGTTAATTCTATAACACTTCCATCACTTTCATTATCATCGTCATCACCTTCGGAAATGAATTTCAGCCCCTCACTCCATCTTCTCGTATTATTGTCCCAAAGCCAAGTAGCTATCATATTTTCAATGTCTTGATTTGTTTTTTCGACGGAACCTTGGCTTTGGGAATGTCGTGGTTTTCCGTGAACTATTTTAAGTTCAGGCCACATATTACATAAGTCGCTAATAATTGTATTAACAAATTCTCGACCGTTGTCGCTATGAAGTATTGAAGGTGCACCAAATGTTGTAAAAATGTCCAATAGAACACAAGCAACATTTTCCGCGCGTTTATTGTTAATGGACGCAGTAAAACAAATTTAGTTAAGTGATCTTGATTCTGAGGAGAGGATTGGTCGTACAACTAAACCTTTTTTTGTAGTACTTCCTTTTTTTTGACATGCTATACACACATTTAGATATAACATTATAATTTCCCTGGTAATATTTTTATATTTCAAATTTATTTCATATATCATTCTATTACGCCCTCCGTGTCCAATATTTAAATGAATTTCGTTAATAATTTCAAATATTTCTTCATTATAAACATAATATTTAATTGAATTAGAAGTAGGCACCACCAATTTTTCAACTTCGCCTACCATCATAACATCATATTTTTTTAAAGCTTTATATTCTGTACCTGTTTTAGCCGTGATTTTTGTTTTTATTTCTTTAATTTTATTTATTAGTTCCATATATTTTATTTCACTTAAAAATGTACTATTAGCATTTTTTTCACTGTATAATAACTTTAAACATCTATTAAATTCGGTTTTCATGGTAAAAGTTGCGGAAAAAACATTAATACAATACGAGTACAATATTACAAACGTCATAAATAAACAGTCTGAACACACTACACAGTATATCTGCAGTACTGGAGTATTGCTCAAATAATTTTAGACAAATACCCACATCATAACCAAAACTTTCTAAATTATAACAGAGTAATAATAAAGATAGGTGGTCGATTAGATAACTAAAGGAGTGTCTGCACCCAGAGTCTGATCGATCAGTGATATGAGATGTGCACCTATCACACACCTGCCACACATACACACACACACATACACTCATACGCGCCGTCTGTTATTTTTCTATCATATTTATATTTTATCTTTGTATTGTTAATAATCGTTATATTTTGTCATTGTGAGTTAGGTATATAATATCTTAACTACGAGACGATGCGGTATCGTCCTTAGGTCGTTTCCGCGGTACCAACATATATTATACAGTAAATTTTTACATTGACCAAAAGTATGTCTGGGCAATCCAAATTTCCCAGACATTATTGTAGAATGACAGGTCATAGTAAACAATTATTACTAACTGAATACTTTACCCGAAACTGATTGGCACTGTGCACAATGCCCGGCTATTGTTGCACAATGCCCGACTACCCCACTTTGTCCGTAACATATACACAGTTTGCTTTCCAGTAAAATAATTTTAAAATTTAAAAGATAATTAAATCAAATAAATTTTAATTATCATCAAATAGGTATTAATAATTTTTGCTACACTAAGTATTGATGTTTAGCGCTTTACTTTCAACCAATTTTTAGTTCTTTTAAGTGTCAGGGTTGTCAATTTAAATAGAATGATATACATATATAAATAAAACATTTTATCAGACAGTTCAGAACTCTGGAAGTCTAATAATGAAAATAATAATGTATAATCAGTACCTGTTATTATTAAATATTGTGGCTTCAGTAGTCTGCAATCTTTATAAAAGACTGAATCTGTCATTCGCAGATACTTTTCATACTATATTGCATATCTAGTTGGAAAATTATTGCAGATTAGTAGATGTACTATTGTCTGGACTTTTCCATATTTACAATAATTTGTGTCCTCCTTCTCGTAAATTATTTCCCAGTTTTCGGGTTCTTCCTTGTTAGGCTAGTGAACTTTAAATTAAACTACCTATATGATAGCAGTCAGTTTTAACTGTAAACAAATATTATCATCCATTCTCCAGATGTATATTATATTAAAAAAATTACTATTAAATAGATATTATGATTAATAAATTATGAGTTCAAATAAGATTTAGATAATTAGATTTAATGTGTACTTTAAATTAATAAATATTTTAATGTTTAGAATATTTTTAAATGACTTCAATGAAAGACTTCATACAAGTTGAAGTCACTGATGATGCTGATGCTGTTACCAGGTATTTGCACAAATTAAATCTTCATATTATTTTCTTCCATTTTTAATTTAATAATTACATTTTATAAAATTTTATTAACTAGTTAAATTTTTTATTTTATAGTGAATTATATGTTGAAAACATTATTGAAAATCATGCATGGTATACAGTTGGAGATAATCATGTTTCTTTGGTATCTGAAAATACTGAGAAAGTTATTAAGCTTGAAACTGATATGTTGGATGATTGTATGTGGGAAAGTAGAATCGAAATTACCAATAATGTTGACAACCCAAGTAATATGGAGTTACCCTTGGAATGTCAGGTAATATCCTTTTTAAATAATATATTCTTGTTGTATGCGGTTTATCCCTTGAAATCACCTAGTATTGTACCAACGTTATTATTTTTCACAAGTCAGATTAAATATTTTATAACATTTGCTTGATAATTCTATTTGCTATTCTGATTAATCTGTGACAGAAACAAAAATATTTTATTAAAAAAAATATGCAATTATCAGTCACGAATGATGATTATTCCTTATACCATTGATTATAAATACTATAAATTGCTCACTGCGATACAAAATATGCTACACTTAATCTAGTAGCGATCATGGTGGTATTATTCAGAACTGACTAGGGGGCGTATCTTAAAACCTGGCCGCCTAGTCAATTCTGGATAATAACACCATGATCATAGTAAATATTTTAGCGTAGGGTATTTTGTACCACAGTGAGCAGTGAGCAAAATATTCATAATTAATGCTTATACTTACCTACATTAACAATTTAAAACAATAGTCAATACAAACATCAATCACTTAACAATTATAATAATAGTATTTAAAATAAGTTAAGTGTTTATTATCCCAAGGATCTATAGGCTAAATTTTATTTCAAAAAATGGCCCTACATTTTTAATGCTGCAAATATGAGCATTTTTGTAGAAATAATAATAATAATTTATTTTTGTTTATTATTTGGTTGATACTTGTTACAAAAAATAAAATAGTTATTATAATTGAATATCGTTTTATATTCATATTTTATATTTAGTCATAACTCATAAGTCATAACCATCAAAATGAGAATGACTAATAATCACTGTTATGCTTATGACTGTGTTGAAAATCTTTAATGGAGATTAAGATGGGGTAATCCACAGGAATTTGTTTTAGGGAAGTTATGATCATCATTAAATGAAGAATTTAACACACATTTTGAATCATATAGGTTTGGTACTTTTAATGGGCAATGAAGAGCACAGGATCAGCTAGTTATTCATATAATTATAAATGAAAATTTAATAGAATATTTTGTATTTTTGGAATTTTTGTCTGGCAACATAAATGTGCTCGGACTTGTTGTCCAATAGTTTAAAAATACTTAGTATAGATAATTCAACTTTTTTCAAAACATACTTTTCAACCGATTACCACGCTATATACACCACTGTTAACAATTACAATAAAACATTAAAAAGTATCTTTGCTAACATTTTTAAGATAATCCGACACCAGCCAAAGGGACTGCACATATGAGAACCTAACATTTTTGGAATAGAGTATAGATATACACATTTGGTAGTAAATCGCATTTAACACTGCTCGTTATGAGTGGTGGATCGCGTTATGTGGTAGACAGCATACAACAAGAATACATTAACATTAATTAATCATTTTATTGACAAATCATTTATTTTCTCACAGGATGACTCAGATAATAATATTTACTTAAATCATTTAAATACAAGTGATTTAATATTTCCTTGTAATATTTGTGGAAAAAGTTTTGTTTTAAATTATCTTTTAAAAAACCACATGGCCGAACACAAAAGACAAGTACATTATAAAACTAATAAATGTAAATTTTGTGGAAAACAGTTTAAGTTAAAATTTGGTTTGAACAGACACATTCAAAAACATCACAATTCTATGTGTGCAACAATTGTATCAACTGCTCCACACACCGAAATCCAAAACAATGACATTATTTCACGTCCAGGTCAAACTGAAATCATATCCAATACCTTAGAAAGAAAAAGTTCAGATCAAATGTATAAATGCAAGATTTGCGGACTTTTTATTGATTGCTCTAAGTATATTGAACACAAAAAATACCATGAAAGAAGAAATAGTATTGTATCTATAGTTAGAGACACACCTTATTTTTGTATTAGAAAATTGTCTAATATTGAACATGGATTTCGCAATGATGATTATGATCAGCCATCACAAAACAAGCTTATATTTACATGCAGAATTTGTAAAAATCCTCCATCTACAGATATACATTCATTTGCAATACACATGAGTGATCACAGGGAGTGTAATATGCATGAATGTATTGTGTGCGATAAAACATTCAACTCTGTAGTTCTTTGGACAGCCCATATGACCTATCATCAACAGCAAATAGATTTAAATGTGTCAACAGTTCAGTTTAATCTTTTTGAAAGTGAATCTAATACATTTAACACTAATAATGAGAATATTAAACTTGAACCAAATATAATCCAAAACAGCATAAGTATAGAAGATAACAACACTGATTCTGCAACAATGTCAAGAAACCAAAAAAAAGAAACCAAATCATCGTCAATTAAAAAAACAAATTACTGTAATTTATGTAAAAGGAAATTTACAAAGCGCTGTTATTTTACAAATCATATGATGATAAGGCATAAAATAAATACAAATACACCAAAACAACTTACATCAATTGATTGTAATGAATCAACCATTCTGTCTGAAAACATAGAGTTGACTAATGAGTCCGAAGACAAATTATCGGTTCCGGTAAATGACAAAAATTACAGTCTGAACAACCATGTTAATAAAAGCAATGAGAAGAAATCAACGTTTTGTATACTTTGCAACAAAAATTTTGCACATCTTGGTGCCCTAACCAATCACATGCGTATTCATGTAGGACATCCCTGTGGTTTTTGTGAGAAAAAATTCTCTACTAAATTACAATTGAATGTTCACCAAAAGTCACATTCAAAACTAAAGATTGATTCTATAAGTCAAGATATAATAAAATGTCGATATTGCAAAAAAGAATGTAACTCGATATTTCAGTGGAAAAATCATATGTCAATGAGCAAAGAATGTCGTCGCCATTGTAAAAGTTACCTTCCAGAGTTTACATCAAATAAAACTGTTTTAGATAAAACGTATTTGAATACCGGTTCACAAAAAGACAAATTAGTGGACATAATTCAACAAAAACCAGCGATTATTAAGAAACCAAATAGAAGTAATCAGATTAATGGTGCTAAATGTGATTTATGTGGTAAAATATACTGTAATGAATATAATTTAATTCGCCACGTATCCGTGGTTCACAAAAAAACTTATAAACCTGTGACCTGTAATGTTTGTGGAATTACATTAAAAAACAAATTTTCTTACGAAGCACATTTAAGAGGTACACACAAACAATTATTTAAACATTATGAAGGAACAAACTCTACAAAAAAAAGAACCAGCGAACAAATTATATCAGTTAATACAAAAAAAGTGACATACACTTGCAGAATGTGTAGAATTAAGTTTTCTGACATTATTGCATTTAAAAAGCATTCAAAGATACATACTTCAGATAAGTATACGTGTAATGACTGTGGTCAGCAGTATGAGACTAATCTTGCTCTAGGTAATCACATTTGGGAAAACCACAGTGCTATCTAATAAAAATTAACATATCGAGAATTATGAGACAAAATGCTTTTCTAGAAATAATTAATTATAATTTTGCTCAGTGTAAAAATTGTTTCCATCAGAACAACGATTTGGCATTTCATGTCCCATAATTATATTTTACGTGTTCATAAATAGAATTTTAAGCCATTAAAAATGACAATATATTTTAACATCTGAAGTTTTTTTAATGTTAGTATATTTAAATTTTAACTTTTTTTACTTGTGAATTACTTGAATCTCAAATTCATGCTTTTGTACTTTGTTTTATCCTAAAAAATCCTAACTATTTTTATTGTCATAACTACTTTTACATGAAGTTAAGTTTTTACTGTGTACGTTAATTGAATGTATTTAAATATGCATTTTATATATTAGACACAATAATTAAGGTATAATTTTTATTAATTAAATTTAAGTTTTAAGAATTGTTTTCATTAACCATAGGTTGTGTTGCATTTTCATATATTGTCAACCAAGTAATTTATTAAAATTCTTATAACATTGTGAATTTAATTGATTATGTTTAATTTAATAATTAAGTAATTTTCATTTGTTTATTTTATAATTTAAAATCAAATTTAACTATTAGCCAAATATTGTTATAATTACTTACACAATGAAGTTAAGTTTTACTGTATATTCATTGGTTGTATTTAAATTTAATATGTATTTCATATTCATAGACACAATATTTAAGGTATATTTTTTATTAATTAAATTCAAGTTTTAATTTTTTATTTTCAATAACTAAAACTTGTGTTTTATATTCGCATATTGCCAACCAAGTAATTCATTCAAATTCTTATTACATTGTATTTAACTGATTATGTTTAATTTATTTATTAAGTAATTTTCATTTGTTTATTTTATAATATTAAATACAATTTACTGACAAGAAAAGTATTGTATAACAAGTATTTATAATTTAATTGTGTAAGTTTTAATTAAATATATAAATGTTGTAACATTCTTTGAGCTCACTATCAATTTTTAGTTATACATTATTAGTGTTAATTATGTTACTCCCAAGAAAGTAATACATGTTAAGTTGTTTGCTCTTCTCAAAAATGTTTTTTTGCATTGATTGATGTTGCAATATTAGTTTACTTTGTATTGTGCCTCTGAGGTTTTTAGAATTATTTTTTTTTATTTTAACAGTATTACAGGTAGTGTTGACGATCAAATAGTATGTTAAAAAATTAATAGGTTACATATATTTTGAATTCCTTCACATTTTAGATTCTGAGTGAAACGATGAATGTATTGATTTTACAATGATGTGTGTTTTTAAAATTTTTTTTTATTTAGTTTTGTGTCTGTGTACACGATAAGTAGTCGAAATAATGCTTCAATTTTCGACTTCAGTATCTTGTTCGATTGGAAAGTGAATATCGTTGGTGCATTGGGGAGGTCAAAATTTAAAATTCCCAGTACTTTTCAAAAGCGCCAAGAAAAACAAAAGAAAAATTAAGGAAAAACGGGAATTTTTACGCAAAATCGATTTTTCAGAAAATTGAATTTGGTTTTTGGTGTAACTTTAAAACAAATGACCGTAGATACATGAAATTTTCACTGGTTGTTTATATTTCCATTTTCTATACACGATAACATTTTCAAAATATTTTGATTTATTTTGAACTGTTTAGGGACATTTTCATTTTTCATTTTTTTTTTTTAGTTTTTTTTCTAGAAATATCAATAAAATTTTATATGCTGGTTAAAAAAACTTGAAAATTTAATAGAAGGCTCCTAGTATATTGTTTCAAAGGCAGATGAAAAATATTAAAAATCGTTAGTCACACTTTTTTTTTATAAGCATTTAAAGTTAAAGAATTGACAAAATATGGAAAAATCACGAAAATTATCAAATTATTTTGAGTTAAGAATTCGTAAAAATTTTTCTTTTTAAATCTAAGATTTGAAAATGTAATACAAGATTAATGTTCACAATCAAGTTTGTCTACCTTTATCAATAAAAAAATCTCTACCGGAAAGTCAAATTAAATTTTTATGAGCGTTTGAAATTCAAAGTTTTACAACATTGGATATTCACTCGATTTCTCATGTAGCGATTTCCTTATTTTGTTGTAATTCAAAAACGAATAACTGTAGATACATGAAAATTTTACTGAATGTTTAAATTAGCATTTCCTATACACCATACAATTTTTAAAATATTTTGACTCTTTTTGAGCCGTTTACTGACATTTTCAGTTTTCAATTTTTTTAGTTTTTTTTTTCTATAAATATCAATAAAGTTTTATCTGTTGGGCCAAAGAGTGTGAAAAATTAATACAAGGCTACTGATATATTGTTACAATAGCAATCGAAAAATATTAAAAATACATATGCACAATTTTTTTTTATAAGCATTTAAAGATCGCATTTTGACAAAATTTATCAAAATCTCGAAAATTATCAACCATCGTAATTAATAAATTATAAAATGTTCAGTTTTTATAGCTAAGGATAGAAAATTTAAAAAAAAGATTCTCATTAATAGTTCATACTGTAGCCAAAAAATCTAAAAAATATATGACCGCAGTTATTTTTTACAGACATTTTAAGTTCAAATTTGGGACGAAATTACATATTAAAAAACCTAGCATACCTATTTTCGTTATTTTGTTGTGATTGTATAATACTATTCGTGGGTACTTGAAACTTCTAAAGTACACTATATTATATATCTATGATAGTATCAGGGTTTGTTATTGATGTATAACGTGTTATAAGTACCTAATGGATATTGTGAATTGTGATATGATTAATTTGGAATTTATTATAGGTCAATTTTTTTTTAATACCATAGATATGTATATAATATGTCTTAAACCTAGACTGACATACCGTCTTCGTTTAGAATCGTTTTTCTTATTCAATGATACATTAAATTTAATAGCATCCATTATATATTGACCCACTTGTAACCTACTGTACAGCAGAGCGACATCCACTTACCCACTTTTTTTATACTCTAATATATATTAAGTATTTCATAAGTTGAATCTTCTTTTAATGCTTTATTCATAGATAGTTGTAAACTGTGAGTTGCACACGTCACATCTGAAATATTATAATTAGTTGTATTAAAAAGTTATTGGACAGCAATACAGCATGTATAAAAAAATTAAAAATGGTGGCTAAGTGGGTAATGCTCTGCTGTACAGGAGTTATCAAGTGAATTCAATTGGAATTCAACAATGATATATTATTGACTATTGTATACAAAAATGTCTTTGATCAGAGACAGACTGTCAGCCAGCAATATATTAAGCAATAAGTATCTATATTTTATCATATTAGTCAGCCAAAGATATTTTATAATATTGGATAGATGTATCTTGACCATAGACCTATAAACTAATGGACAGAGGTCAGGGGTACGTCATACAGTATTACTATGATTTCCCCCATCATGTTTTTTCTCTCCTTCTCTTATATGATTCCACCAAGATTCCCCCAATATGTTTTTTCTTACTCACTATATTGGAGCCACTCAGTGAGGGAGGCGCAGTCCATTAGTTTATAGGTCTATGATATTGACATTAGTAATATATTTTACTATCAGTATATTATGTTATGTTGATATTACTTTTTAAAAAAATAATGCATTTATTATATTATTATTGTTTGATTATGATAATAGTACATTTTTATTTCATTTATTATCGTTAATAACTTTTATATCAATTGGTTAGGTTAGGTTATTAATAATACCTATTTATACCACTTTACCGTTGAACGGTGTAAATACTAAATAGGCTAATCAAAATGATTTAAAAATAGCATTATGTGTATAATTAAAATAATAATATATTTGAAATCCCTCCAAAAAATGTACAACAAAATAACTGAATTTTTATCCTTTGTTTAAATTTCTAGTTTCGTCCAAATTTGTACTTAAAATATCAATAAAAAAATAATTGTGCTAATGAAGTTCTTACATCATTTTCTTGAAAATGTTGATATATCTAAATAATAATAAAAATTCTAATAAGTAGTTGCTCTATTATTAAAATGTTTATGCTAAGGATAATCCTTAAATGGTACAAGAAATCTCAAGTATTTGAAAATCTTCAAGTGTATTTCAAAATACCAAAAATCAGAATTTGAATATGATATGTATCATAATACTAATATTGATGATAGCATAATAATAGTGTGAAGATGTTTAAAAAATTACTCTATGACAAGTGGAATAATGATTCATTTGTTTAATATTCAACTATGAAACTACAAAATACTAAACAGTAAATAATTATTATTAATAAGGTACATAGAAATGAAATTACGAAAACCAAAATTATATTTCTATAGAATTTTAACTCTGATGACAAAATTCATATGTTATAAGGCATAATATAATTTAGTAAACTCTCAAAAGTATGCAATATTTGCATGATTGCTGAATCCAACAGTCTGCCAGCGGCGCCCATGTGGCCTATTTGAGCCCATTGTTTTCAAGAACAGAGTTTAGTTAGATTTTATCTGCAGTTGCATAATTAATCATAAAAAACCTCTTACTGGTTATTTGACACTTATTCTATTATGGCCTGCTCACACTATACTATGGGTAAGCATCTGGTCCCTTTAAAGAAAAATTACGTACTCTAGAGTCCATACTCCCTGTATAGATTAGGAACAAGTCAAGCAAATAAAAAAATTTATGAGACCTTAAAAAAACGGAGTGGCCCCGCGCCCATGGCCAGGCCGACACTGTACAAATCAAATCATATCCCGAGATTACATCTTTACATAATTATTGTTGAAGTTAGATTTAAAATCATATTATTTGTTTAAAACATGTTTTAAATTAAAAAGTACATATAGTTGTACTCCAAATCGACATCAAGATACCCAATCATCAGATTCACGTTACTCAGGAGGTCTAATAATATATTTCAATTCAAAAGATAGCTTATCCATAAGGGGTTTGGATAGTGAAGGATTTTAATCTTGTATACTTTTTTTTGGACTTAGAATTTCAGAGATAGTAAAAGATAGATAAAAAATTACATTTTAGTTGATAAAAAAAAATCGTATAATTTAATTTAATGACGAACAGTATAAAAATACATGGTTAATTAAAAATTGTATATAAACTTAATTTGGTTCAGTCAAACAATTGGATGGATTGGTTGTGTTACATTATAATAAATATATAATAATAAAAATAAATATAATATGTATATAATAAATAATATACATTATAATAAATACTAGTATAATGCTATTATTATAAAAATATAAACTATTAAAACATAATATTATGTTTAATAATAATTTAACAATTTATTATTACTATTAATATGATTTGATCATGATCTAAAAAATGAAAATGAATATAAAATAAATGTATTTGTGAATTTGTGTATAGTTTGTAATTTTCTAAAAAAATTATATAATACCATTAACATTTCCTTGATGAAATTGTTCTTTTCATAAAGTGAATGACCACACTTCAATCCATATCGTGAATAATACATATTTTTATAGAATAACCTACACTTTAACACTTAAAGTTTAAGTAAAAAAACATTTTTTTTTCACATGGGTAACGTAATAAATTAATATTTTTTGAGATAGTGGACATTGTTTCCACAATTAACCTATTCATCACTGTTGCAGAATACCAACCTTAACTGCATATGTCAATACAAATGATTATTTTTTTTTTACATTTTCTATATTACTATAAATAACTATAAAATTAACAGAGTTCTGAATGGGTCTCAATAATTTTATTATAAAGAATTATTAATTTAAATAATTTATGATTTTTTGAAAAAATAAATCATAAATTACTTAATAACAAACTAAAATATTTAAATTAAAATTAGAACTTATTTTTTTAGATAAAAGTAAAGATAAATTGATCCTAATAATACTAATATAATGTGTACAATTATTACTAATTATTTGGTTTGATTAATATTATACAGTTTTGAGATTCTGAAAGTGACAAATAATAAAGACAATATAGACATCCATTTCATAAAATTAATGTTTTCCTAATTATTTTTTCCAAAAAAAATGTACTATTATTCACAATATAGATACTTTTTAAGTGAATGTGACTTCTTATTAAATGTATAATATCTATTTGATCAGATCATATCAAATGTCAGCAATGTTGGTTTTTCACAACTATACATGGGCATTACTTTAAAGGCCAAAAAATATGTGAATATCAATAGGTAGAATATTAAATATTTTGGAATGTACTAGAGCAGTGCTTCTTAATCTTTTACTAGTATTTTGTTCCAAAAAAATCTATCGCAATCTACGTGGTTTATTTACAAGATTAATAATTAGTTCTAAAAACAAAATTTGATTACTATTATTATAACTTATTACTTTATTAATTTATAAATTGCAATGAATACATTTCTTAGAATCTATTTAATTCAAAAAACTTCTTGCAACCCACCAAAAATTGACTGACGACCAACAGTTTGAGAACTACTGCATTACAGTTAGTGCACCTAGGATCTTATATATATAATAATGAATAATTATTATAATAGTTACAATGTACTATGAGTCACCTACTTATAAATTATGTCAAGATTATTTTTGTAATGTGAATGTAATAATGTCTAAAATTATAGATTTTTAAACCAACGATAAATAGGAAGACTTTTTATATATTTGGCTAACTTTAGTTCGCCTGGACCATTACAGCCACTAGCAGCGCAAGTATAAATACATGTTTTATATTCTTTTTCATTGCCTGGGGGTTTAAAATAGTTGCAATAATTTCCTAAATTATGAGATGAACAGTATCGTCTAACTTCAAGTGCTCCTATAATAAACAAAAATTAGAATAAATTATCAAATATTACTTTTGATAGATAATATTTTTTTTACAAAAATTATAATAAGATATAGTTACCGTTGTGTAAGCCAATATGTGTCACACAATAAGCAGCATTGTTAAGATTTGTACAGGGTGTGGGGCGTAGGTTTCCTATATTGTCCATAGTCTCTGTACATTGAAATTGATAGTTGATGTCAGTACTGTTGCATTGGTAACATGATATACTTCCAGCTAGACAACATAATAAAAAATTGTTCATATTGTGTTTAAGAACCCACCATAAATCTAACAAGCGTCAAAATATTCAGTGTAATATTTACCAGATCTTACGGTGCAAATAAATGCTATAAGAACTAATACAAACAAATTATTTGCATTAACCATTGTTTTAAAAGAAAACCAAATACGAAAGTATAAGTTGAACACAACGTAAACAATTTTCAAATGTCAAAAAACAAAATGGCTACCTTCTCAATGCCCATAAAAATTGAAATCGAATAGCAATCCGCGAACTGCTTCACCACAGACTACCCAGCGACCAGCGTAGGTACATATCGACTATATTCAATATAAGAGGTCGTCGCCCCGAACGTTATGTTGTCCCCGTCTTACACACGTACGGCATAGCAAGCACGTCTTGGCGTGGGAAAGAACCGAGAACGTCATAACTAAGAAACGACATTTCCACCATATATATAGGAAAACTTTGACTATGCAATATTATCGTTTTTATATCACTCATACGAAAAAAATTCTTATTGTCTCAAAATCCATTATTATTTGTGTTTTTCGAACTTGAATAACTTTTTTGAAGTTCCGATAGCGAAAAAATAAAAACGATATTGCACAGCTAAAGTTTTCCTTTTTATGTGGTGAAAATTCCGTTTCTTAGTTATGGCTGTAGCATTCTCGGTTCTTTCCCGCGCAAAACAGTTTTTTCTATGTTGTTCATATTTTATATACACACACACATGCGGGTGCTTCGTCCTCATAACGGGGCCCGAACACCAGACCGAATGTCGTAACGGACACCGGCGCTGGTCTAATATTTTATGTCCATTGACAAATTGATGACGTGGCGTATCACATCGCTCTCTTTCTCCCCCTAACCAACCTCTTCATAAGCTTTACGGGCTCAAGCCCCCGCCTCGCGGTGGGTCGCTACCTTTTGTTCCAATGTTGTTGTCATACTTTTGAGGACTTTTGTTCCACAAAATATTTGTTCCATGGCCCTTTCGCCACGGTTGTTAACCGCACTTTTCTGCTGGGTGGGGAGTAATGTGACGGCGCACATAAGAACCACGCATGCGCGCACATCGTCCTGGTTCTTCGCCTCAACTGGCTTAACTATGCCGTGACGTGTCGTTGTGTGTTTTTATATTCATACCAAAATGCTATACCAATTATAAGAATATTGTCCCTGACGAGAAAATAATAAAATGTCTTTTTAAATATCACTTTTCCGCACATAAATGTAACCACACGGTGTAATATACTGGTAGCTCTGATGACTACTAGTATATTAACGTTGCAGGTATCTAGACCATTTTATTATGATGATGAGGTATTGGTTGAATAATTGTAACACAATTGCAAAATTATACTGTTGTTTATTTAGAGTTCCAATAATCACAATGGTGCTAAGTCCAAATGACAATCGTTATATAGAGTCGCGTGAAGGTGCTTGCAGTAGCGATGAGTGGACACGTCTGAATACAGGCCGTTTCGGGCCTTCGGGGTCCCTCTTATAGTCCGGTCCCCGCTCCCCTTGCCTAGTGATACTGTATCTTGGTTCTAACGGATGTGGTCTATGTGGCTATCGACCTAACTACGCACTTGCGAAATTCCTAATCTATTCTGCGTATTATTATAATGTACTGACAGTTAATTCGTGAACTGTCAATTTCGTTATAATAAATCATTATACTCTTTTATATTGAATACCCGTCATATCTAGTGCTATTGCAAAATATGACATCCGTCTAGTATCTATGATTCTAGAGTCGTGATAACTGCTGTGGTATTATTTGAATATAATATAATAAAATGTGAATTCGTTTATCCTTTCGCTTTGGTCATTATACTCCCGTGGGTTGTTTGATTGTTTTATATTAGAACACAACCGAAGGTTAACTTAGTTAATTCCTATTTCCATTTGACGTATCTGATTGCTACCTATCTATAGTGTATTTTGTTAAATATGTTACCTGCCGGAACTTTAAATGTTGTGTAGTAACTCGCTTACTACAACGGTCAAAAGTTGAATATATTCAACTGTGCTGTATCGTTTGGTAATATATATTACTTTTTAATAAGTAATTGATTCTTATAATTCAAATCTTTTACTATAGTCAATTGACCCTTACATTGTTATAATATTCACAATTGAATTTTTTGATACATTTAAATACTAGATATCCATCGAAATATGTCACTGAACAATCTTCTAATGTGACCGGTATTGTGTTTAAATGTTCTGTAACTGTTAAAACTGTATCTATTACACTTCATTCTGTATTCGTATCTGAAGATTGGTTATTTTCGAATTTTTGATGTTAATTAACTGTTCTCCTTCCAGAAAAATTGTCACGTCTTGTTTGTTTGTTTGTGAATCGGTATTTCCAATAATATTTTCACAATTTGGACATTTAGAAATTAGAAGTGCATAATGAAAATATACAAGTACTTCTAAATGACGTTCTAATCGTTCTCGCTGTAGGGTTCTTATTGTAGCCACCTTTTTGTCGCAAAACACTTAATAAACTTTCTAGTTCGTCCTTTAACCGATTAGTTAATATAAAACCGATTACATTGTTATTAGATTTTTCTTCCTCAAAAAAACTAAGAATGCCGGTTATCGTTTGTATAGTGCCTTTGAAGATGTAGATGTGCTTTTGTCTGAATTGTATTTATATTATTTATAAGGAATTCCATTTCATTTCAATTTTTTGTTTTTATAATCACACCAAAAACACTTCGTTATAACTCCGTGTAAAAAAAAGCTAAGTTAAAAAAAAAAAATTAGTAATGATTAAATCTTTAAAATACGTGATATAATATAGAAATTAAGTAAAATGCCATTTTATAATACAGTAGACACCGCTTATAAGACTTACGGATATAAGGTTCAGTCGCTTATTAGACTCAAAATCGTCTGGAACGGTCCAGATACATTAAAAAAAAATCGGTTATAAGACTCAACACTTCGGTTATAAGACTCGAATTTCGTAAAATAAATAGTAGAAAATAAACTTTTTTGATTATAATTTAGAAATAAATTGGTATTGAAAAATTAAATAATATTCGTGTTGATTATTTCTAGTTTCTGGTGGTACTTTATAACGTATAATAAAAATAAATAATAAATACATTAAAATATGTATCATCCTTTATAATTTTTTATTAATGCATTATTTTTATATGTAATATTTACCTATTATAATTTTAGTTTTTTTTATCAGGATTATTAAATTTAGTCAATAATAAAGTATGTAATATGTAAAATGTGTTTAAGTATTAAAATCAAAGTAAAATATGTAGTAAAATAAAATTTATGAATACGTAATTAATTTTTTTTTTCCACTTCACCTATAATAGATTCATTCGGTTATAAGACTCACTTTGTGCTGGTCCCAAAGTGAATCTTATAAGCGGCGTCTACTGTATTACATATACTTATGATGACAAATAAGATCAGTTGTAATTCGTAGCACGTCGTCTTCGTAGCACGTCGTTGTCGTAGCACGTCGTCGCCTCCGCCACAGCCACCGTCGCGATGAGAGTAGTGGAGATGGATAAGCAGTGGGTCAGGACGAAAATATCGTAAATATCCCCGACCCACCGCTTATCCATTCCCACTGTTCCGCATGCAAAATCGGTCTTAAAAGTACTTGAACATTTTTGTTTATAACTTATCTTGTATCTTTATCTTGTATCTAACCAATCTGCTAGCGAGTTCCTCTGTTCCCATCTGCACAATATTTCTGATCGATTGATACCTTATATGACTTTATATGTTCAGCCGTTTGCCCTGTAGAAGTTGACAAAGGATTGACATAAATTAGGACGGTTTTTCAATGTTAAAACTTGGTTTCCTGCTAATATACGTTATTGGCTATTCCGCTATCTTTTTTTACCTTAGCTTCGCGCCACTACCGTTGAGCTAGATTTAAAAAATAATCTGGAGAAACATGATCCTATCATACGTAACGATTATACAACTGTTTTTCGTCTAGTGACAATAAACTTATTGTGACTATAAACGATTATATAAACTTCCAATAAACTTTATACCATGTACTTTTGTATAGGTGATTTCAAAACTAATATCAAATTTCATTCTTTGCCAATCATAGTTGGCTCATCCATTTAGCAGACCCCCACTTTCATATTCCATTCCTGGACCTGTTGATGTATTGTTGGGCACGGACATTTTTTTTTTTTTTTTTTGGTGTTTTCTGCTGTGACAAAAATGAATTTTTACATTGTTCTGCTATATAAGTATGTCGTCAAAGTATACACAAACATTTTCAATACTCCCAAAGTATATGATGTCAATTGTTGGAATATTTCTGGAGCATTAGCTAACCCACAAAGGGTAGTATTTTAAACTGATATGAAACAAATGGTGTACTGAGTGCATAATATTTTTTTGAATCGCTATTCAGTTCACACTGATAAAATCCATCTTTTAGGTCACACAGCGTGAAGTATTTTTTATTTTGTTAATTTACACCTCATTTCCTCTCATATGAGACCGAACATACCGGTTTTATATTTTATTTTTATTTGACTTTGTATGTCTACGAAATTTAAAATAAAAAACAATTTTTGTAAATGTTTAAATTGTTTTGAAACAATATTTAAACAAATCAATTAGTCACACCCTCAAAAAAAGTTTTATCTTTTTTTTGTTGTAATGAGTGATATTTTTACTCTATCCTATTTTAGATTATTCAAAAAACATAAAAATCTGGTAAGTACTAGGTGTTACTCTGCTATAGAGCAGGTTACGATTGGGTCACTGTAATGGATGGTTTTAAGGGGGCTGCACCGTAGCATATTTTAAAGAGTACTAAATAAGGAAATCGCTACATGAGAAATCGAGTGAATATATAATGTTGTAAACATTTGAATTTCAAACGCTCATAAAAATTTAATTTGACTTTCTTATAGACATTTTTTTTTTTATTAAGGTAGATAATCTTATAAGGAATCTTGTATTACATTTTCAAATCTTAGATTTAAAAAGAAAAATTTTTACGAATTCTTAACTCAAAATAATTTGCTAATTTCCGTGATTTTTCCATATTTTGTCAATTTTTGAACTTTAAATGCTTTTTAAAAAAAAATTGTGACTAAGGATTTTTAATATTTTTCATCTG